ATTCTGGAGATCCAGGATCGAATCCCATATCGGGTTCCCGGTGCATGGAGCCTGCTTCTCCCTCTGCCTATGTCTCTGCCTCTCTCTCTCTCTCTCTCTGTGACTATCATAAATAAATAAATTAAAAAAAAATGTTAATGTCTTTTATGACAGAACATTTTACTTTTTAAAAACAGATTTTATTTACTTATTTTAGAGAGCGGGGAGGGGGCAGAGCGAGAGGGGAGAGAACATCTTAAGGAGACTCCTGCTGAGTGGGGAGCCCGATGCGGGGCTCAATCTCATGACCCTGAGATCATGAGCCGAGTTGATTCAAGAGTCAGATGCTCAACCAACTGAGCCACCCAGGTGTCCCATGACACAACATATTAAATTTTATTGAAAGATTTTTAGGGATCCCTGGGTGGCGCAGCGGTTTGGCGCCTGCCTTTGGCCCAGGGCGCGATTCTGGAGACCCGGGATCGAATCCCACGTCGGGCTCCCGGTGCATGGAGCCTGCTTCTTCCTCTGCCTGTGTCTCTGCCTCTCTCCCTCTCTCTGTGACTATCAAAAAAAATAAAATAAAAAAAATAGTATTGAAAAAAAAAAGAAAGATTTTTAAAGAAATCCAAAATTAGTGGGTAGATACACCACATAAATGAACAGGAAGACTCAATATTGTAATGGCATAAGTTTTTCCAAAATATTTCTCCAAAGTCAGCACCATGATTCAGTCTCTGCTGCATGATGTGGACTCTAGTATGGGTGGTGAGAAGGCCTGGAATAAGTCCCCTGGGAGCCAGATACCAATTGGCTAAGAGAATGTTTCAATAGTCTAGGATTTCTGCCGGGACTGGATCCCAGCTCCTGCCTGGAAAAAATTACTTAAATTCTTATGTTTCCGTTTCCTTGTCTGTGAATGGAGATAATGGCAGTAACCTCTGATGGTTGTTGTGAAGATCAAGTAATACACATAAAACACATAGAACCGGGCTTGGCACATGACCAGCACTATGTAAGACCCAGCTCCTACCATCACTACTATTATTCAGGTTATTGACATATTCACTTTCCAGGTTCACGATGGTTCAAATGGGCTGTGGAAATAGGGAGAAGGCTTATGCAGCCAAATTCCAGGGCCCTGATGAATAAAACTTGAAAGCTGGATATGAGGGATGGAAAAACAGGACAACAATGCTCTTTCACATCTGCTTCACTGGAGATTTTCTAGTTACAAATGGCTTCCATGCTCATTTTCTCAATAAACCCTCACACTATGCTAGGGTGGGGTGGGGGTGGCAAATATCACAGCCCATTTTGCAGATTTGGAACCTAGGACTTAGAGATATCAGGTCACTGGCTCCACAGGCTGATGTTTGTCTTACTCATCACTGTATCTGCAGCACCACAGCATAGTCCTGGCACAAGGAGAAGGTTCTCAATAACTACTCACTGGTTAATGGATGAATAGGTCAAACGCGTATTCATTCTTCTGTTCCTGAGCACTGCAGGTGTGATAGACAGGTCCTATGCCAGGTACCACAGGGAGGCAGAGATTGATCACGTGGCATCCTTGAACATGAGGCACTCAGATTCAGAGTCCAGTGGGTGGACTTGTCAGCTACGTATAAATTTCTCCACCCGAAGTACTGAATCTTCCTTGAAGGACAGGATGTAACCCAAGCGCACTGCAAAAATAAGCCTGGGCCCTATTAAATCACTGAGGGTTGGGGGATGTTGTTATGCAGCGTAACCTAGGCTTGGCACTGCCTGGATACACTGTTATTCCCAAATTTGACCAAACATAAGAATTTCTAGAGGTAGTTGCTCAAAAACCTGGATTCCTGGGCTGCAACACAGATCTACGGTATTAGAATTTCCAGGGAAGCACCCTGGTAATCTGTGTATGTAACAGGCTTTCTTTTCCAACTTCAGAAGGGTTAAGAAAGAAAGACTGAGCAGCTAAACTTGAAGGACGGGTAGGAGTAAGACTTGGGGGGCAGCCCCGGTGGCTCAGCGGTTTAGTGCCTGCCTTCAGCCCAGGGCGAGATCCTGGAGATTCAGGATCGAGTCCCATGTCAGGCTCCCTGCATGGAGCCTGCTTCTCCCTCTGCCTGTGTCTCTGCCTCTCTCTCTGTGTGTCTCTCATGAATAAATAAATAAAACCTTAAAAGAAAAAAGGAATCACTGAACCATGAGAGGAATTACGATTGTTCCCACATGGTATGTTCTTGTGTCCGTTTTTAGAGCCACAGCCAGATTTAAGATGTAAACCTTTCACTCACTCATTTATTTAACAAATATTTTGGCACATTCTGTGCTCTGGGTGCCATCATGCCACTGGAGAACCAGCCATGAACAAAACAAACAAAAGTCCCTGCCTTCATGGAACTTATTTCCTTTGTCCTTTTTTTTTTTTTTTAAGATTTTATATATTTATTCATGAGAGACACGTCGAGAGAGGCAGAGACACAGGCAGAGGGAGAAGCAGGCTCCATGCAGGGAGCCCGATGCGGGACTCAATCCCAGGACCCCAGGACCATGACCTGAGCCAAAGGCAGACACTCAACTACTGAGTTATCAGGGCGCTCATATTTCCTTTGTCTTTATGCCTGGGGCATGAAGGAATATGCCGTACATTCATTCATTCATTCATTTATTCATTGAGATTTTTAGTGAACATCTGCTTTGTACCTGACCTTGGTTGTTGGAGAGAAGCAGACATGAGTCAGGCCTGGTCTGGTCTAGTGGAGAAGCTGACTCAGCCCACACCTCATGAGGTTGTTTGCCTAGACTGCTGGGAGAGGCCTGAAGGATGGGAAGTCTGACTATCCACGAAGGGGCAAAACAGAAGCAGGTGGAGGAACAGCAGAGGGAAAGACCCCGAGGTGCCTGGGGTCCGGGATCCCTTGGTGTGGTTAAAGCTTAGGGTCTGCAGCCCAGGGAGGGAAGTGGTAGGAGAGAGGAGGTGAGGGTGGTGGGATTCAAATACCAGGGCAGTGATACAGAAGGCCATGGGGTGGGGATGGGGGTGGGGGTGGAGTCATTGGGGTGGGGGATTGATATTATCACATCCCTTTAAGGGGCAATCACTAACACCTGGGGAAAAGACTGGACGCGCAGGGCAGGGGCTGCAGGTGGGAAGACCACAGAGAAGGCTGTTGTGATGCCCCAGGTGAAAGCCAGTGAGAGTTTAGCCTGTCCCCAGGTGGCGAGCAAGGAGAGGACCCAGGGGACAGCTCTGGGTTTGGCAGTTGAGGGACGAGTGATAACACTGTGGTTTTACAGGAATAGGCTTTGTAATCAAGATGCCCTTGAGAGCCCCAGCCCTGCCCTTTGCTAACCTTGTGAACTCGGGTCCATTATTCGAGCATTCCAAGCCTCAGTTTCCTGATCTGTGCACTTGGGATCATGGCAGGAGCAGCTATGTGGTCAGGAAGATTCTAGGAGTCACTCAGCCTGGCACCTAGGACACAGTGGACACTCAGGACAGGGCAGCATTACGGGGACGGGGGAGGGAACCAAGGTCAGCTTTCCCTCTGCTTTGAGTGGCTGGCTGACCGAGGTGCCATCTCTGATGGAGAACACAGGAAGAAACACTATGGGAGGAGAAGGCAGGCCACTACAGTCTCGGAAGTTCCATCAAAGCCCTGGCCTCACTCACTTCGGTTACGGATCTACTTATGTCTCTGAGGACATCGCCTGTGTCCTTGGTGCTCAGCTCAGTCTCTGGCTCATAGTAGGTGCTGCCTCTGAGGAGGAGGATCTGGCTTGCAGGTGCAGATGTGGGTACTGCCGCATGTAGGTACAGCTGACCCTGGGAAGTGATAGAGTAAAGAAAGCAGAGAAGAGAACCCGGGGTGGTGGTGGTGGTGGTGGTGGGTCCCCAGGGAACCCGGTTGTAGAGGGGTTGTGGGAGAAAGGGTGGATCTGGAAGGAGGATGGAAAACAATGTTCAGAGGCTGGGGGGTTGGTGGGAAGGGAGGCAGGAAGCAGGCTGAGAGTCAAGAGAGGTCATCAGGGTCATATGTCGTTCAAAGATCATGAAGGGTCAGGCCTGACCACTGGGCGATGGATTTGGCATCAAGGAGGTAGTCGGGTAAGTTGGCAAAAGCAGGTTCAAGGCCTGCGGGGGCCAAAGCCCCGCTGCAGGGGTAGCGTAGTTGACATGATGTTAAAATATGGAGATGGGGAGAGCAGAGGTGGGCATCAGGAAGAACAGGGGTACTTGGACCCTCAGAAACACCAGCATTCCTCTCCCAATAAGGGCGAATTTCGTTTTCAACAGTCAGAGCCATGTAAAGATGGGCCAAGGGCTCTGGAAAGGTAGTGAGCCCCCTGTCCTCGGAGGTAGACAAGCAGAGCTCTGAGACCCACTGCTGCCTAGAGAAAATTGTCACAGTTAGATTGGGGAAGGCTGTGCAAAATAAACCCCAAAACAAACAAGTCCCTGTCCTTCTCAGGCTTGGCTGATTCCTTGCATCACAAAAGCCACCTAGAGGGTCAGTTTTGCTATTTCTAGTGTCCAAAGAACCTCCTGCAGGGACACACACACAGAGGTGGTCGTGCCCTGGCTCCCACAGATACTCGCGGACACCACACATAAAATCTACCTCTATCTCCTGGTATAAAGGGATGCACAGCACCCCTCCCCGGGTTATTCCCTGAATTCACCCGCGTACCCCCTGTCTGCCGGCCCCCCACCCCCCACCCAGCAGCTCGCTGCCTCCCGCCGCCGCATCTCCTCCGTCTTTCTGCGAATCTCTCCCTCCTTCTCCGGCTCTGCCCTTTCCCACCCGCCTCTAGGCCTCTCCACCCCCTCCTCGGGGGCCCCCCCTCCCCCGGACTACAACCCCCAGGCGCCCCCAGCCCCGGGCGCTGCGCATGCCCCCTGCTCCCCGCCCCCTCCCGGTTCCCCCCTCCCTCCCTTCCTCCTTACCTCCCTCCGCCCCCCTCCCCCGCGCTTCGGCTCCCGCATCCCTCCATCCGAGCCTGTGCCGCAGCCGCATCGCCACCGCAGCCCCGGCAGAGCCGAGCCCGGCCCAGGCCCCTGCCCCTGCCCGGCCTTCGGCCCGCCGCCCCCGGCCCCGCCCCCGCCCGCGGGCCCCCCCAGCGGCTCCGGTGCCCCCCGGCGCCCCCAGACTCCGGCCTCCAGCACCGAGGCAGGAGGCAGGGAGCAGCAGCAGAGGCAGGAGGACGAGGAGGAGGAGGAGGAGCCGTCGCAGGATGAAGGATCGGACTCAGGAGCTGCGGAGTGTGAGCTTGGGGGTGGGGAAATGGGGGGGCGGGACCCCAATATTGGGGGAGCGCGTGGGGGTGGTGTGGGGGAGGCGCTGGGACATGGGGCCAAATGATGGGACTGGAGGTTGGTGGTAGGGGCACCCGGCTATCTGGAGGCACCTGATGTCTCCAGTGAACCTGCATTTTGGGGACAGTGGCTGGAAGAGGTTGGAGGCCATGAAGACTCAAGGGGGCAGGAGAGGTTTCAGGGGCTCTGGGTACCCACCTTCCCGGAGGGCCCTGGGGTCTAATCTGGGGAGGGGAGAGAGTGAATATCAACAGAGAATTGGAGGGTCCTGTCATCCCCTGGGCAGATGTGCAGAATTAGAAAGATGGGGGTGGTTACTGGGCCAGGCTGTCTAGCGGGACCAAGATTTGGGGGGTGCTCGGGGAAGGACACAGGTTGGGACAGAGATGCCAACACCTGGCAGTGAATGAAGTGTCTGTGTGTGTGTGTGCACGCGTGTGTTGCTCCCAGTGGGGAGGGGGCACTGCTCAGAGGTGAGGAGGGAAGGGGTGGCCTCAGGAGCCGGCCAGAGGGCCAGGGCCTGAGATGGGGTGACCCCAGATGTGGGAGATAGGATGCAGAGGAGGGGGGAGCAGGTTCCATGCACAGGGCCATGGAATTGGGTTGTGTGACATGGACTGTGTTCTGCTGGGGGGAATTGGGGCATCCTGAACAGTCAGGGGCAGGTTGCTGTGGCCTCCTGCTTGGCAGGCCTGAGGAGGCCCAGCTCCAGGAGGCTGGCCAAGGCAGTTTGTGTTTGGGTGACAGAGGGAGGAGGGCCGCATGGATGTCCGCAGTGAAAGCTGCTGTTTGGAGGGGCTGGGGAGTGGGGGCTTGATGAGGATGGTTTCTAGGGTAGGGAGAATGTTGGGGGATTTGTAGAAATGACCTGGGGGCCAGGGAGGTGCTGGGAGCTGACAGCCTGCTGTGTGCTCAGGGCCTTTGGTGGTCTGTTAATAAAGCACTAGCCTCAGCCAGGATGCATCCTGATGCGCTAGGTCTTTACCTGGAGGAGCCTGTTGGTTGCCTCCCCTCACCCAGGGTTATTTCCCCATTTGACAGATGAGGAAGCTGAGGTCTGGAGATAACAGGAGCTTGGCCAAGGTCACCAAGCCAGTGGGTGGGAGGATCCAACTGGAATCTGGGTTTCCAGTCTGGCAAATTGACATGTGTCTCTGCTTTTTTTGGTCTTTGAAAGAGAAGCCTCAACCCTACGGGTAGAAATCTCGTCTTTGGAGAGCCCCTGGGATATGGGTGTGGGAAACCAGGCGACAAAGCTGAGAGGAAGGGGCTCGAAGATAAAGTGACTGTTGTCTCCTGGGAAAGATGGGCTGACAAATGGGAAGGAAGGAGAAACTGGTGGTTGAAGGAGGGAATTTTAAAGGTTTCTGTATTCAACTTTCACTGAACATTGGGCCAAGCAACCGTGAAGTGACAATAATAAAAAGAATCAACCCTCTAGTGCCAGATACTGTCCTAAGCGTGTTATTCATATTTACTCATTTTGATCCTTGCCGCAACCCATTTTATAGGTAAGGAAATTGAGGCCCAGAGAGGAAGTAACTTGATCAGCGTCACATAGGCAATAAAAGGCTGGCAGGCTGGCTCCAGCATGGGTGCTCCAAACTCCCCTTCTTTCACCATGCAGTTTTTAAAGCAGGTTGCCACCCATAATCTCACTAGACCCTCACTGACCTCCTGGTAAAGTATGTAGACTGAGAGACCACTTCATCTTATAGCTGAGGAAACTGAGGCCCGGAGTGATTAAATAACTTGCCCAAGGTCACACAGCTCTCCAGTGAGGAATGCAAATTTGAACCCAGGTCCCCTGCTGCCAAGACTATTCCATGACTCCAAAACCCAGAGAAACGGAAAGCAGTTGAGGTGAGGTGGTGGCGAAATTGTGGTATAACTACAGTGAGGGAGGGAAATCTCTAAGATGTGGATGGAGGGGGAGGCACGGCCTGGAGTCCTCATCTGAGTGGGTCAAGGAGCCCCGGCCCAGAGGCAAGGAGTCTTGGCTGCTGGGGCTGCAGGGGGTGGGCAGTCAGTGGGGGAGGTGGGAGGTGGTGTGGAGAGGTAAAGGGAACTGGGTAAATGGCTCTGGTGTTAGTCAGGGCTCAGGGAGACGAGATTGGGGAGGGGGTGGGGAAGCTGCCAGATGCAAGGAGTGCAAGGGTCTCCCCACCAGAGTTGAAAGCGAGGAGACTAGGAGGCGGGAGAGTGGGCAGAGTGTGGGAGAGGCCTGGTAAAGAGGTCTCTGAGAGGCTGAGAGGGATGAGGGGGCAGTGGCAGGAGGGGATGTCAGCTCAGGGGACCTGATCATCTTTCCAGCAGTACCTCCGTGTTCCCAAGGGGTTCTCAGATCTGTTTATCACACAGCCGGTGAGGGCACAGATTTGGGAGCCAGACTGTCTGGGTTCAGATCCTAGTTTTGCAACTTCCTGTGTGACCTTGGGTACGTTTCTTAACCTCTCTGGTCCTCAGCCTCTTCACATGTGAATTGGGAGTAAGAATAGTACCTGTTCGCAGGGTTGTCCTAAGGACTGAAATTAGATAAGATGCAAAAAGTGCCTAGAAGAGACGTGGGCAGAGCAGTGCTCTGTGAGTGCTTGTTGTTCTACGTGGACTTGCTTATTTCCCTTCAACCTCACCTCAGCCCCCCAGGATGGGCAGGATGTAACTCCTAACTTATTCTGGAGTTGACTGAGGGCCAGAGAGGCAACCTGACCAAGGTCATACATCTGGTAATGGCAGAGCTGGTGTGGTACCAAGGTTTTCTGTTTTCTAGTTCACCCAGCACCTCTGGGCGCCAGCTCTGGAGTGGAGTTAATCAGCTAGACTGGGGTCCCACGGCCCAAGGGGTGGTGGGGCCAGGGATGGGGCTCACGAGGAGGAGAGAAGGGAGAGCAAGTGAGGCAGAGAGGAGGGCTGGTGAGAGAGCGAAGCATGTGGGGTCGCGTTGTAGACCGTGGAGTGGGAAGGCAGGAGGCCTGGGGGGTGGGGAACGTGAGGCCCGAATTTGAGTCCGGGTGGGCATGGGGGCTGGTAGGGGACAAGCCACGCACCCTGAAGGCAGAGACTGAGTCATCTGTGTAGCGCTTGGGCATGGGATAGGCACGGAAAGGGCTAGAGCTGGTACGGGTACGCCTGCATGACAGAAGGGAAGAGCGGCCCAGCGTGAGTGGGCAGGGCCCAGGAGGGCCCGGCGAAGGGCTGCTGTCACCCGCTGCACAGGGCTCATTCCTGTGGCGCAGACACACCAAGTTCACCCCTGCCTCAAGGCCTTTGCACTTGCTGTTCCCTCTGCCCTGTTTTGAGCGCTCTTCTCTCCACCTGGACCACTGTTCCCTCCGCCTTAAGTTCTGTGTCATTGAATGTTAAAACGTCACCCACCCCCTGGACAGGCCCTCCCTCATCATCCTGAGAGCCGTTTCTGTCTCTCACGTCGGGTTCATCTCCCTCCACTTGGAGGCAGGACCTTCTTCCTGTCTTGTCCACCACTGTGTTCTCAGCAGCAGCCAGAGAACTTGGCTCGGCTCAGACATATCCGCTAGGTGAATGAATGACTCAGTGGGGCGTGGGGCGGAGGGAGGACGAGGAAGGGAGTAGGGGGGTCAGGATGGAGGGCGGAGTGGTGGGGAGGGCAAGGCCGGGTGCCGGGAGGGCGGAAGGGCCCAGTCAGGAGACAGATGGACTGGAGCAGGGGTGCAGCGGAGAGAGGCTGCTGCCTCTAGATCAAATGATGCTTGCGCCGCTGAGGAGCATGCACGTGTATGCCGTGTGCATGGGTGCACATGTGTTTACACACACGCGTGCGCACTCTATGACTTTTCTGTCACCCAACACCAGGCTCTTTCTGCCTCTGTGTTAGTCACCTTCTCACCATCTGTCTCTGGTCCCTGACTTGCTGGCTCACTGTGTCCCTCTCCTTCCATCCACACATCTGTCTATGTTGTCTCCCCACACTGACACACACGGGGGCCCCTGGTATCTCTGATGGGAAGAGGCTGAAGCTGGATCTGAGGCCCCCAATGCCCAGGGCAGTTCCACAAGGTGCCTGGGCCCTCTGCACTCTCTCATGTAATCCTCTTCAGCGCCCGAGGAATTGGTAAGCAGGAAGAGCGGAGGGCCTGGGTTCAACCCAGGTGCCACCCTGCCGCCACCCCAGACAGCACCTGCTGTATCATCTTGAGCAAGTCGCTTAACCTCTCCATGCCTCAGTTTCCTCCTCTGTCAAATGGGTATAAGAATAGTATCTGCTTCGTGGAGTGCTTCTAAGGGTCAAACGAGACACACAAAGCACTGGTCACAGGGCCCAGCTCACTGTAATCAGTACACATGTGTTAGATTTCTTATGTTCTTCATTTTGCACATGAATAAACTGAGGCTTGAACTGTCCATAAAGTGGATCATGCACCTACGATCACCTTTTTCTGGGTGATCTCCTTTGCCCACAGCTTGCATTCTTTTAGGCTGGCCAACTTCTTCCAGAAATGGAGGCCACGCTCATTATTAAACATGCACCCCTCAGAGCCGGGGGCGGGGGCCCTGGTGCACCAGCCTGCCCTTTCTGCAGATGAACGGGGGCACCAAGAAGGGCTGCGATTTGCTTCGAATCACAGAGCAGGGTGAGAGGAGGTAGGACGCCTGGCTTCCTATCTGGGCACTTCCTGCAGCCCAGCCCATCTTCCTGGTTTTCTCTCCTGGCCACAGGAGTTCCACAGTGCTGGGGACAAGCAGAGTGGGACAGGGTGGGAGCCTGGGATGAAGCACTAGCAGGTCGCATCCCACCTCTGGCCTTCTTTGCTGTGAAGCCTTCGGCAGGTCAGGCAACCTCTCTGAGCCTGTTTCCTCAGCTGTAACATGGGAGGGGCAGGGGGTCCTAGCCAAGCCTCACCAAACACTGTGTCTTCTGGCAGCATTAGGCATTTTCCCCACCTCGTCTCATTGCCTCCACCTGCCCCGCATTTGGGGCAGATGTATTACCATCCAGCAGAGGCTGAAGCTCATGTGGCCTTGTAGTTGCTAACCTGGGCAAGTTCTCTACCCTCTCTGTGCCTCAGTCTCCCCATCTATAAAAGGGAGCTATAATAATACCTTCCTCAGGAGGCTTTTGTAAGAGTTAAGTAGACAAATATTCACAAAGGCATAGAACGGTGCCCAGCTCACTATAACATGCTGTGTAAATGGTTTGCCACAATTATAATTATGCTGGCCAATGGTCCTTATAGAGTTTAAATAAAGATTCAATGAGATAACAAGAATGTAAGACCCACGTAGAAGATGCTGGTTTTTTTTTTTTTTTTTTTTTTTTTTTTTTTTTTTAGAAGATGCTGTTAAAAGATATTTTCCTAGGATTTCAGGGCACAGAGCCCCACCAGATTGGGCCTTAGCAGGAGCTGAGCTGACAGGGAGAAGAGCTAGTGTCAGAGTTGCTGGAAGGAGGTGGCCTGGCCTCGAGCCCTAGAAGGGACTGTGGGGGAGGTGTATTTAGATGCTTATGATTTCCAGCCCATTCAGCCGAGGCGCCCTTGGACAGGTCACTTCCCTTCCACCCCCCACCCCCGACCTCCTGTTCCCTCATCTGTGAAATGGGGACAATGATATTTGCTCAGCCTTTCTTTCAGGGCCGTGTGGTGAGGATCAAAAGGGATTATAGATGTAAAAGTGTTTGTGAACTGTAGAGGATTATTAGCTCTCAGCTCCCTGTAATTATTATACCAAATAAGTCATACTTGGGTCTCTACCTTTCTTCCTTTCTCAAGGACAAGTAAACAGGCAGCTCGGGATGCCCCAGGGTAGACTCTAAGGGACCTGGCTCTGGGAACAAACAGGAGAGAGGGAAATTAGACTTCAGAAAGTGGGAAGTCAGCATGGGGAAGAGACAAAGACTGGGAAAGCTTCTGGGCACCTGGACCAGAGAGACACCTCAAGACCTGTGTACAGAGGGGCAGAGGCCAGAAGGTAGGGGAGGGGCAGGAGGAATGGCTTTGGCTCCAGGGGCAGGAGACCCTGTAGGGTGGCCAGCTTGAGGACAGGGCATCAGGGGAAGCTGGTGGCTCCTCAGAGAGGGGCTGAGCCTATTGGAGCCAGGGTCTGTCGGGTAGCCCTGGGTCCGCCCTGGGTCTGGCGGAGACTTGAGAAGCCAGAAGTGCTCTGAGAGTACCCAAGCCCCCCCTGGTGCCTATTCGCCTTCTGAGGGCAGTTGTGGGCAGAGACAGAGGAGCCTCCCTTCCCTAGCAGATGTTTGCGATTGTCTGGAAATTAAATGTAAATGCTAAATACATTTTCTGCCGTGGGGTGGGGCCCAGCATCTGTGGGGAGAATCCCTCAAGTTCCATGTGGGTAGGAAGCCGGCATGGCCTGAAGGGCGTGCAGCCGGGGGGTTCCTCCCGGAGCTATCGGGGCTCTGCTGATTGCAAGTTTACTTGGCTGCCTTGGTTGCATCCAGGTCCCATCTGGCCCTGTCTAGGTTCGATCCAAGCTGTCTGGGATCTGTCTGCCCTGAGTCTCGTTGGGTCTGAGCCTGTCTGGTTTCCATCAGGTCCTGTCTGCGATCGGCTTGGCCCCTGTCGAGGCTCCATGGGAGCCTTTCCCTTTGGGTTTCAACTGGCGGTGCTCCAGGTAGACACTTTGGGGTCCTGTCTGGAGATCATTTGGACTCTGGGAGTCTGAATCCGTCTTGTTTGGGCTAGGTTCTTTCTGGAAGTCAGGGGGAACTCTGTTCCAATTTCCACTGAGGCTGATTTAGGGCTGCGCCTGTAATTAAGCTTGATGGGCTCAGCTTTTATCCTCAGATTTCTGCCCCAAGCAGAGAAGTGTGTCCAGTTAGGAGCCTGCAGCACAGGGGAGCCCACTCTGTCCCATCTTCTTTTCCTGGCTCTGGATGAGTGTTCCGCCCTGAGGCTCGGGGAGGCTGGGAGAAGGAGCCCAGTGGGCCCTCCTGAACATCCCCAGGGGTGTGGGTGACTGTGTGGCCACGGGTGGCAGCAGCGGCTTCACTGTGGGGCCATGTGTGGGTGCGCATCAGCGTGGCAGCGTATCTCTGTGTGGGCGTCATTGGGCCTATTTCTGTGTGCCTTGTGTGTCAGCCCTTCTGTCTGTGTCACTGGTCTGTCTGGCGGTGGCGGTGGCGGTGGCGGTGTGGGTGGGTAAATCCCTTTGTGTCTCTGAGCCCTGGGGGTGGAGGGCTGAGCAGCTGCAGGTTGCAACTGGGAAATCCAAGCAAGTGAGAGTAGGTGGGTGTGAAGTTGGGAGAGGGTAGATGAAAGCAAGTGAATACACGAGAGGGGCAGAGCAGCGAGAGGGGCAGAGCAGCGGAGGGGGTAGAGGCGGGCACGGGGAGCCGGGTCTCAGGGTGCTGCCTGGGTCCCTCCTCCAGCCCTCCCAGGGCTTCACTGTGCTTGCTCAACTTGGCTCCCGCCCCCGGCCGTGAAGTGACCTTGCATAGGGGACGTGACCGATTGGGTGGAAGCTGGAGGGAAAGGGATGGGGGGTCAGAGTGAGGCCTGGACAGAAGGGGCTGGGGAGACAGTGGACAGGGTCAGCCTCCTGGGTGTCTAATCCCGACCCCTTCTGGGAGCCCAGAGCCAGTTCCTGCAAGGCTGACATTTAGCTGCTCGGGAGGATACCGGTTAATGGCAGCTGTCCTGGGTACCACCCACCTCCAAGGTGACTGCCTTCACAGGGCCACTTCCACCTTTGAAGGGGTGCCTTTTGCTAATTCCCTCCGAGGCGTCCTTTGGGCTCTCAGTTACCTGGCCTCTGAGACCCTGTTTTACAAGATATTGGGGGTTCATTCTGACTGCATGGTGCCCTTGCATTTGACCTGTGTGTGGCCTGCCCCCTGCATAGGACCCCTCCCAAGATTTCTGCTCTGAACCCAGAGCTGGGAGCATCCGATTCAGGGTAGGGACTGTTCATGGAATCTGCCTTTCTCTGCCTCCCAGGCGAAAGACAGTGATGATGAAGAGGAGGTGGTCCATGTGGATCGGGACCACTTCATGGATGAGTTCTTTGAACAGGTAACCGAGCTTCTGATGCTCCTGGACTCAGGAGCTAACCCCCAGCCAACAATTTCCTTTGCCCTGTTCCACCCCTGCTCTCCACTCCTGGAGCATCTTGACCTTCTACTGATCCCTTCCTTACCTCTGGCCCATTTACCTGAACCCTGACTAAGCCCCCAGGACCCCTTGCCTGGCTCAGAGACTTGGCTGGGTATAGCTGATTTGCTGGCCCAGGTGGAAGAGATCCGAGGCTGCATTGAGAAGCTGTCAGAGGATGTGGAGCAAGTGAAAAAACAGCATAGTGCCATCCTGGCCGCCCCCAACCCAGATGAGAGTGAGTACTGCTGCTGGGTGGCTAGAAGGGGGGGGTGGGGCTGGGCCGTATGGGGGGGTGGGGGTGAGGGATGGGGTCTGGGCTCCCATCCAGACATCTCATCCACTTTGGCTGTCCCCTCAGAGACCAAACAGGAGCTGGAGGACCTCACTGCAGACATCAAGAAGACGGCCAACAAGGTTCGGTCCAAGTTGAAAGGTGAGGAATGCAATCCCCAGACTAAGGAGACAAACAACCCTGCCCTCATTGGACCAAACATGCCTTTCTATAAGGAATGTCTACACGTTTCCAGGACCCAGATTCCTAAACAGTGAGAAAGCACAAAACCCCAGATTTCCCCCCTTGTTCCAGATTCTTTGGAGAAACAGACATGACAAAGAAATGAGGGAGAGGAAACTTTCTGTCCGAGTTGCATCTGAGCTTTGCTGGATCCACCAGCATGAAGGTCCACCAGAAAATATAGTCTTCCGAGTGGCTTCAGTTTCATTAAATCCTTATTTCTCCAGAACAGGTGCCGGGCATAGCGCTAAGCACCCAGTAGGTGGGCTCAGCAAATGCTTCTGAACTGGTATCCTCGGCTCAGGACAGATTGGACTTGTGTGGCTGACATCAGGAGCTGGCAAGCTTTCAGGAGGGACCTGCCAAATGCTTATGTATTCACTCTAATTTAAGGACTTGGGTGCTGGTAATAACTACCTTCCCCCAAAGCATTGTGGGTTGGGAACCTCCTTGTCTGCTGGTGCCAGGGGAATAGCAGTGTTACCGTGATGTGGTAATTCAGTAGCAGAAAACATTTGCCAAGCACCTACTTTGTCTGAGGCACATTGCAGGGATGGGGGGACAGGTGCCATGTCAGATGCCTGGCCTTGAACAGACTAACCTTGGTCCAGAGAGACAAGAATAGCGACTCCATGCCTTCCTGGACTCAGTGGGAGGTCATGTGTGAGCCTCCAATGCTGATCTGTAAAAATAAGCCCTTTACACTTGTGTCTTGGAAAGGAAAATGACTTAAGCTGTGAGTACATTAAATCCAAATCCAGGCAGAGGGAGTTCAACTTCCATCATCAGCTCTATTCTGGACAACTTCCATCAGCAACTCATTCCTACCCTCGGCTTCCTCACTGGTACAGTAAGAAAAACAGAAGCAATTTCAAAGCCGACTTTTTTTCGAGGGAGGAATAGTAAATATGTTTTTTTCCTTAAATGGCATCTTACAAAGAACTCCAATATATACAACACGTAAAAGACAAGCTGTTCTGGCTGACCTGGGGTTCGGTGGCCCAGGGCCCTACCCACCTGGTCTCCCCTTTACTCCCAGCAATAGCCCCTGAGGTTCTTTCTCAGAAGCAGGGTTCCATGGAACATCGTTAAAAAAATCCCTGGGCTTAAAGACTTCTTTGGGCCCACTGAACTCTGACCTCAACACTCTCTGTAAGACCATAGAGGTGGGCTCCATGGATTATGAGTCCAGGAATAGAGCAAGAAAGAAGCTAGGAAAAGTAGCAGGATGTAGAGAAGCTGACCTTCCAGACCTCCAGAAAAAGGGAAGATTTTTTTCTCCTCCATTTCTCTCCAGCTATTTGGTGGCATGAACTTGGAGTTTTGTGTGTGACCTTAAGTGTGTTGTATTACCCAGTCGAAACTCAGTTTCTGATGTGATCCATGGGCTGGTATCATTGAACTCTCAGGATTGTTACAAGAAGTCAATGAGACCCTGTAAAAGACCTTTCACTACAGGGTTCGGCTGCACCCCTAAGTTTGACGATAGGGTCTCCGTATGGGCCAGAGGTTCCGACATCCCTGGGTGTGCTGTGTGTTCCTGTGCTTTTCCGGTGGGCCACAGGTGTCACTGTCACTGTGCCCACCATTGCTGGCAGGGGAGCGCTGGGGTATGCTGTTCAGTCCCAGACCTCCCTGCTACCAGCAGAACAGAGAACTGATGTTCTCAGGAATGGTCTGGAGGCCCTTCCAGGTCTGGAGGGCCTGGTGATTCATCCCTGCGCATTTTCAGAGCGCTGTAGATCTTATCGCTGGCAAGCTCTTTTTTAGAAAATCTGAATGATAGATGTCAGGAATGCATGATCCAGAAGCAGGAATCCCAGTTAATCTGTGAGCTTTTCCAGAACAACCTTTAGAAGTGGGAATTCCCGAAACAGAGATCACCTTGCAGGGCTGGGGGAGAGCTATTTTCTGTTGGAACATACCCCCTTACCCTAGAATTTTCTGAGAAAAGGGCGGCCACTAGAACCTGACCCATCTGGAAGTGCTTGCCTCCCGCCAGAAAAACCACAGGATGGGTTCCTGCCCTCTTTCCAGAGGCTGTGGGAAGTGGCGAGGTCCCCACATAACGGGGACCCTCCGGGGACCAACCAGGGGTTACCACGGTGGGACTTGCCAAGACCCAATCCTTCCACCAGAACAAGTAGCCCCTTTCTGCCTGGTGACCCACCAACCCTCAACCTCCCCTCCTACTTGCCTTCCGGACCCCTTGAAACGTCTGTCCCTCTCTTCACCCGCCTCCTGCCCCCTCACCCTGGACGCTTTACCGTCTGCCCTCGCCATGGGTGTGACATCTCTTCACAGGCCCCAGGCCTGCCTCGGGGTGTCGACCCCTCCTATGTCCCGGACCCCCGCCCCACATGCCCCGGGTCTCCCGCCGGTCACTGCACCCTCTCTCCCGCAGCAATCGAGCAAAGCATTGAACAAGAGGAGGGGCTGAACCGTTCCTCCGCGGACCTGCGCATCCGCAAGACCCAGGTAGGAAGGAGTTGCCTGGCGGGGCGGGAACCGGACCGAAACGGACCGGGAGAGGAGCCCCGGGGAGGCGGGAGCCGCGAAATGAGAGCGGGCGGGCCGGCGCGGGGCGTGGCCAAGGCGGAGTCTGGGCGGGGTCCTAGCGGGGGCGGAGCAGGGCCCTCGGCGCCCGTGGGGCTGCGGCCGGCTGGGGGGTTCCGTGGGGGGCTGGGGGCATGGGGGGCCTGGGGGGCGGGCGGCCAGGGACCCAGCACCTGTTTGAGCTTGGGCGCGTAGGCCAACTCCGCCCCCTCTCCCAGCCCCATCCCTCCGCTGGGCTCCTCGCCTCCTCGCCACCTCGCCACCTCGCCACCTCGTCCGGCCTCCTAATTGCCTGTCCCCCCACCCTAGCACTCCACACTCTCCCGGAAGTTCGTGGAAGTAATGACCGAATATAACGCGACCCAGTCCAAGTACCGGGACCGCTGCAAGGACCGGATCCAGCGGCAGCTGGAGATCAGTGCGTGTGCCCCGCTGCAGAGCGCCCAGCCTTGCCCCAGCCCTCTCCGTGGGGGAGGGTGGGCTCCTGGGTCTCTGCCCTGTCCCACCACCTCAGGTCCCCAGACTGGCCCAGTCCCTGAGCCGGGAGGCCTTTCTCCCCACAGCTGGCAGGACCACGACGAACGAAGAACTGGAAGACATGCTGGAGAGCGGGAAGTTGGCCATCTTCACCGATGATGTGAGCCCCTGGTGGGGGTGGATCTAGCTTTGGAAAACATTTACTTCTCCTCCCTCCCCAAGCTGAGGTTAAACTAAAGTCCTAAGTCCACCTTGGAATCAAAAACAGTGGGACGCCAGGACCTGGAACTGGGGATTTCCGTGGGAACAAGAGCAGGAAGGCGCTCCCATAAAAATGGCCAGCCTTTTTTAAAAACCAGCCAGACACTAAGCACTTTACATATTTACATTTACCAAATGCTACTTCATTTAGTCCTCATCACCACCCTCACCCTCTGAGGGAGCCGGATTTCATCAATGAGGAAATCTGATTGAGAGGTTAAATACCTCCGCAGAGGTTAAATACCTAGCCCAAGGCCTCAGAGACAGGATTCAGATCCATGGTCTCCTGTCAGGGCTCTAAAGCACTAAGACACACTACTCCCTACTGAAGCAGGTCATTTCACCAGATGACTAATTTGCCTATGTAATGAAATTAAAACAAAATACCAGTTTTAGTTTTGCTAAAGTTTTATGCCCTGTCCTAGTCATCTTAGATGTGAGTGGATGGGCTTCCCCTACTATAGTTCTTCTTTCTCTTTGTAGATTTTGCCTTAGCCTGCCCAGTTCTGTCTCGGCTTCTGATGGCAGAGTGGCTCTGGTTAGGATTTCTAGACCAGAATTCAAGTATGTTCAGTGACTGTCTAGCAGTTTTCAGCATATTGTTATTTCGAGAACTGATCTTTGTTAAATTAGCTTTGAGCAAATCTATTAGGACCAGTTAGCCTGGAGCCCTCCCAAACAGCTCTGCCCAGGCTGGCTATCTGAGAATAGAGGGGAGCCTGGTGGGTTCTAAGAGGATAGAACTGATCCCTGCCAATGAACCCACCATCATTGCAATGGAAACCCATCATTACAATGCAGGCGGTTGGGGTCTTGCCTGAGGGATGTGCACCCTGCCGACAGGCCCTAAGGTAGTGGTTAACTACTGCCATCAGGGAATGCTTCCTGGGAGAAGTGCTATTGAGCTCTGCTTTAAGAAACAAGGAACATGGGATCCCTGGGTGGTGCAGCGGTTTGGCGCCTGCCTTTGGCCCAGGGCGCGATCCTGGAGACCCGGGATCGAATCCCACGTCAGGCTCCCAGTGCATGGAGCCTGCTTCTCCCTCTGCCTGTGTCTCTGCCTCTCTCTCTCTCTCTGTATGACTATCGTAAATTAAAAAAAAAAAAAAAAAAAAAGGAACATTTGGACATAATGAGTTGGGCAAAGGGCCCACTAGACAAAGGGAGAGTGGACCACTTGCCAATGCCAAACAGTCAATACTAGTGATGACTCTGCACCTTTTTCGCTCTTCCCTGGTGTGTGTGCGTGTGTGTGTGTGTGTGCACGTGTGTGAGAGAAGAAGCCCTGGGTGGTGGGCTCAGAACAATTGTATTTCTTGTAACTTAAACATCTTTTCACATTAACTCAGTTCACAACAACCTTGGGAAGTGGGTACTGCTATCATCCCCCTTTCCTAGGTGTGGAAACTGAGGCCCAGAAACATTGCACAATTTGCCCACAGTTAGAGCTAGTAAATGACAGATTTGAACCCAGCCACTCTGGCTGTAGAATCCAAACTTTTATGGGAGTGAGAGGGGAATTTGCAGCTCCTCCCCCTGTCCCCCACCCCCATTGCCCTAGATCAAAATGGACTCCCAGATGACGAAGCAGGCACTGAATGAGATCGAGACAAGGCACAACGAGATCATCAAACTGGAAACCAGCATCCGAGAACTGCATGACATGTTTGTGGACATGGCCATGCTCGTGGAAAGCCAGGTACTGCCCCTCCCGCACATTCTAGGAGCCTTCTGTAGGTCCCTGGGGTTCCCCCTTTTCCAGCCCAGCCCCCACTTCATCCTCTGCATGTCTCCTCTGCAGGGTGAGATGATCGACCGCATTGAGTACAACGTGGAACATTCTGTGGACTATGTGGAGCGAGCTGTGTCCGACACCAAGAAAGCTGTGAAATATCAGAGCAAGGCCCGGAGGGTGAGCCAGGGGGCTGGATGGGCCTCTGGGACAGGCTGGTGTTGGGGGTGGTTAGGGGGAGTAGGAGGTGGGGAGGTGGGGAGCAGGCTGGTGGGGGGCAGGAGAGCCTGCGGGGCAGGTGGGCTGGAGTGAGCTCTTGGGGTTGGGCTCAGGCCAGGGCTGAGGTGAGTGATGAAATCCAGAGGGAGGCCTTATCTCTGGCTCTGACCTCTTCCTTTTTCTGTTTTCTCTCCCCTCCTTTTTCCTCACACCTCCTCCCCCATCGTTCCCCCCCCCATCTATCTCTATCTCTCTGACTCTCTTGTCCTTCTTCCCTGTCACCCTTTCTGCCTGCAGAAGAAAATCATGATCATCATTTGCTGTGTGGTGCTGGGGGTGGTCTTGGCGTCATCCATTGGGGGGACGCTGGGCTTGTAGGCTCCTCACCCCTCTCTCTCCCAGACCCTTCCCCCACCACATTGGGAGCAATACCCCCACCACCCCTTTCACTCTCCCCTGCTCCAGGCTCACCCTCAAGACAGACCCAGGCAGCCCCCCCTTCCCCCCTTCCTGTCAGACCCTGGAGTCCCTGGACCTCGCCCCACCATGGACCACCCCTGCCCCCGCACGTAGATAGCAGCAGGCGTGATTACACATGCACACCAACATGCATGCCGCCGCCGGCACATGCTCAAGACGTGTGGACACCCCAGCGTGTGTGTGTATGTGTGTAGATGTGTGTAGAAGCACCAAATCACCCTCTGGTCCCCACCTCAAGTCTGTGTCATCTGAGTTTCCCCCTTCACTGGGGTTGTTGTGTATAGATTGTGGCCAGGTGTAACACAGCAGCCCACTGAGCCCTCCTCTGTCTTCTGTGAATAGATGTGTGTATGTGTGTGTGCGCACGCATGCGCATGTGTGGGTGGCCACGGATCCACAGACACAATTTGTGTGCGTGGAATTTTGTGTTTGAGTATTTGAATCCGATACAACAGCACTTCCTCCGCTGATCCCCGCCGTCCCCACGTCTGCTATAGATAAGGCGGGTTGGGAGTGTGCAGATGCTTACACTCATGTTTTCAGAGGATCCAGGTAGGCCCAGATACACATAGGCCACGGCAGACACCTGTGTGATGTTGAGCAAAGCTTTCTGGCTTAGCCACCCCAGGGAGTGTGTGTGTGTGTGTGTGCATGTTGTGCATTGTGAGCCTGTGGAGTCTAACCAAGGTGAGCGGAAGCAGGTAAGTGGAAGCACACACGTATAAAGAGCCTAGCTCAGCCTGTATATACATGTGCATTTCTCCCAGCAGGTAATGTGAGGAATGTGTGTGTGTGTGTGTGTGTGTGTGTGTGTCAAAGATGTGCTTGAAATGTTGATAGGTTTCCTCAGAACCTTCCATGTTGTGCACTGGACAAAAATTTATATTTCTGTGCTATGTAGATATGTCTGTGTGAGAGTGTGTGTATGTATAGAAGCTTTCTACGCTGTGTATTTTTGCCCGCCTGTGTATTATATGCACACACGTGTTCTTTAAAGACACGTGCGCCATCCAGGTTTGTTTATCCAGACGTATTTGCCCTCTCCCTCTCTCCCTACAGCTGCCGACCAACATCTGGTGTGGCTACACACCGTTTCACCAACATTGTGCAACTGGAGTTTCCTGCCCTGCCAGGTCTCAGAGCCCCTGTGCACACAGGCCCACATGCCAGTCTTTCTCTGTGTCTCTGCAGAGGGTAGACCTTCATCTGTGAAAGCTGGTATACCTCAGTGTGCTCACACAGGCCCAGGCTGAGGAGGCCTCATGCAGGAGGCCCACCCAGGCACATGTGTGTCCGCTGGAGCACAGGTGCATGCTGACACGGGCGTGGTGCCCACAGAGGCTGCACTCGTTTGCACGTAGATGCCCCCGGAAGGTCAATTTGTGGGAAATGTTATTGATGAAGAGAATGTCGAGGGCTGCCCCAGACAGATTGAGAATTAGGGCATTCTTGCCTTCCACACATTTACCTCAGAGCTGGGAGAGGCTAGCGTTTGTCTTCACCACCCCCATTTGATGCTCTGGGCTCGGCCTCAGGGACTGGAATGGTAATTTCAGGCATCCTGAAATGGCCAATGTGGCGGGGCTGGGGAGCTGAGTCCTGTGCCCTCTCCCCGGGGCACATCGCCTGCTAGATGTTGGGATAGGTGTCCCCACCTCTGCCCAACCCCGAGGGTTGAGACTGAGGCAAGGAAAAGGCCAGCGCCTCGCTCACCATGTAGACAACATTCGCACAATGCACAGGTGGGTTTGCGAGGTTGGTGGCAGGCAGGAGTCCCTGAGCAAAGGACCTATGTGTACAGGACTGAACACCCAGGGTGGGGCATACGTGTGTGCAAAGTGAAGGACTTGGGTATGTGTGTGCAGGAGGTTTTCCAGGGTTTTCCAGGGTCCCACCTCATGTGAAGTAAGTGCATGAGTGCGTGTGTGCATGTGTGTGTGAGAGAGAGAGAGAAAGAGAGACACGGAGACAGGGAGACAGTGCAGATGTGGCCTTCCAGAACACAGTACCCCTCCCTCTCCCATCCAGCTCATGTAGCTGACTTCTTCCCTACTTGAGCTGTTGGAGTCCTGTGTGAGGCCTGTGTATGGAACGACCCCCCAGGTGGGCTTTCTTGCAGAGAGGAACCTCCCTGTCCCTTTCAGGAATGTCCTGCAGAACAGGAAGTTGCCCCTGGTCTGTGATCACAACCCTCCTGCTGCCCTCTCAGGCTTCTTTGGGGACATCAGAACAGGCCCCAGCACCCCCACCCCTTTTCCTTCCTGCTGCCGAGCCAGGACACCCTCGCAGCCCAGGTGTTTCCGGAATTCCCACAGCCCTGAGGCCACAAAGGCCGAGGCTAGAGCCATGGCCGAGTGATGCCGTTGCCTCCTCTGGTGGCCTTAGACCCATAGCTGCCCCTCTCCGGGTCTCAGCTGCACCAGATCCCTGAGGGTCCGCTGTACCCCAGCTCTTTTGAGTCCCACGTGTCCCGTGATGTATTTGCTCATGGGCCGCTGTGTCCACCCATGTCCTGGAACGTTGTCTGGGGGCCGGTGTCTTTTGCATGTTCTTGGACGAGTGTGTGCTGCTCCCCCTCCACACACCTACCACCACTAAGCCCACTAAGCCCGAGTGTGCCCTGTGGGTGGTCCTGGGCCTGGCCAGGGCTCGCTGCTCCCCCTCCCCGCCTTCCCCAGCCCTGCCTCTCACGAAGCACACTGAGTGTCCATCCCATGTGCCTGTGGGTCGATGCACGCTCTTGCCACGCCTTGAGCGTGTGTACATGTGTTCTATGCATTCACCCTGTCCCCCCAGCCCGCCCCGCAGAGGACAAGATGGGTGGCCCCCGGCTCCCTTCTCCCCCTGCCCCTGCCCGCTGTGCAGCCGTGTGCGTTGGCGTGTGTTTCCGTGTCGCTGGCGTGTCACGTGATGTAGCCGTGTTTGCTGACATGAGCCCTTGCCCCTTCTGTTTCTCCATTGGTTTCTAGAGCTCCTTCCTTTTCCTCCCAGAGGGGACAGGACTCCTGGGGCCTGGCTGGGGGCCCAGAGCCAGGCCTCCCTCTCCTGTTAGCCCTCAGAGTCCCATTTCTCTCTATTGGTGACCAAGTTGCAAATGGATAAAACACAGGAAAATTCTGCCCCCCCCCACCCCGCCCTGCATGTCCTGTCCCCAGAGCCCCCCACCCCCACCCCGGGCCGGGTCGGGCCCCGTGGGACGGGAGAAATAGCAACCAATCCAACAGCGGGCGTGCTGTGTGGTCACTTCCTTCTGTCCCACGTGGGACAGGCGCCGTGGGGAGGGGGAGACGTGGTGGGAGACAGAGCCGGACAGGTGGATAGACCCAGGCTGGGTAAGGAGCTTTAATCCAGGGCTCGGCCAGGTATAGCATTCCTGGGGCAGATCCCTCAGGCAGAGCTCTGACAATATTATAGGAACAAATTTGGGTGGACGGGTGGGAAGAAGGGAAAGTACACGGATTTGCTTAGGCTTCACAGAAAAGAGAGCTGTCCGAAGGTGATAAAAATCTTAAAATAATGGGATGCTGACCGCCAAGGAGGGCCAAAGGTGGTGGGAGGAGCCACAAAGCAACTTCAGTCCAAATGCAGGCCCAAGGGTCCTGCCTGGACGTCAGAAGGCCAGCATGAAGCCCGTGGAACTCTTCACTTCCTGCTTGAAAAGCCAGAAATGGGACAGGGCAGGTGGGAACATTAGGGGAATCAGACATTTGCCAAACCCTGCCCTAGAACTCAGAGGCACCGGGCTGGATTAAAGATGTGGAGGGCTGTGGGTGCGTCAGTGCGGTGCCAGACGCCCCTCCAGCGCTAGGAGGCAGGCCTCCCTCCTTGCCCAGGGTTTGAGGGCTCGGGGGGGGGGGGGGGGGGGGGGGCTTCCTCTCCCTGCTCCACCGTCACCGGGCCGAGCCCTCCATGGCCTGCACCCAGCGGATGGTGCGGGTCCGGCTGTCCTCCCACGAGAACAGGGGCTCGTAGCCGAAGTGGCGCTGAGCCTTGTCGGTGTTCACAGTGAAGGCGGTGTTGGCCACGGCCAGCGTGTAGGGGTTGAGCAGGGGCGCGTAGAGAAGCAGCGGCCGCAGCAGCCACTGCAGCAGGGCGTTGAGAGCAGCCAGAAGCATCAACAGCCAGTAGGGCACCAGCGGGCGGGTCTCCACCAGCCGCAGTCCGCAGGGGCCCAGGAACTCCATGTTGAAGTCCTCGTAGCTCTTATAGGGCGACTGGTCATAGCAGAAGTACACCTGGCCGCCCATCAGGGCAGCTCGCTGCTGCAGCTCTCGAGCCACCAACACGTGCATCCAGGCCACATTGCCTGCCAGCAGGGGAAGGGGGGGCAGATGTGGCCCTGAGTCCCTGGAGGTTGTGGAGACCCTGTGCTCTCCTGAGCCAGCCAGTGTCCAAGCTGCCCCTTCTTGGGGCTCACGTAGGTGTGGCTGCTTCCTCCCCAGGCCCTGTGGCCACTTGCTCTCCTGGGCCAGCCTGTGTGGATGCTGCTACTTCTGTTGGTCCTGTGTAGACGCTGCCCCTCACCTCTCCTGGAGAGATGCTGTTCCCATAACCAGTTCTGTCCTTGGCCTGTGATGTGTTTTTTATTTTATGTTAGCCTTCCCAACTCACACAGCTGCTGTGTCCTCCGTGGCCATGCAGATAATGCCCGAGTATCCGGCTACTCTGGCCCATGTGTGGCTCTCCCTTTGCTAGCCGGGGCGCACACTGCCTACCCAGGACCACGTGGGTCCTGCCCCGTTCTCAGCCTTAACCCCCCCGCCCCCAGTGTAGCCTGGGCCTTACCCACATAGACCCGGCCATGCTCCACAGAGGCGGGGATGGTCCGGAAGAGTCGACCCCCCAGACGAAGGCCCTGGTGGTAGAAGTCCCTCATGATCTGGTGGCCTTCACCATAGATGCCAGTGGGACGCAGGGCACATGTCACCAGGGGCAGCCCCCCATGGACCTGGGGGCAAGAGGTAGGCATAGCTAAGACCTAGGACCCAGCAGCCTGCCCTCTGCCCTGGCCTCCCGAAATCGATGATTGGGGCAGGATGTAAAGTAGTCCCTCTGGCCTTGGCTCTGCCTCTGACTGGCAGCCCTGCCCACCACGTCTTTGTCTCTTCGCCTCCTATCTCACCTTCCTTCCATTGGCTTCCAGGACCAGCCGCTCAGCTTGGGCCTTGCTGCAAGGATAGGGGTGCCTGTGTACTGCTTCATATGGGGTGTCCTCATTGCCCCTAGTTGAGGAAGAGGAAAATTCTTTTTTTTTTAAGATTTTATTTATTAATTCATGAGAAACAGAGAGAGAGAGAGACAGAGGCAGAGACACAGGCAGAGGGATAAGCAGGCACCATGCAGGGAGCCCGACGTGGGACTCCATCCCAGGGCTCCAGGATCACGCCCCGGGCTAAAGGCAGCACTAAACCGCTGAGCCACCAGGCTGCCCAAGAAGGAAAATTCTTAATGCGGAGGGGAGATGGGGCTCTCAAGTACTGGGGGGAAACTCAGCTTACCTGTAGAAGTGGTGGCCTTTAATGTTGGGCCCCACAACTTCCATGCTGCTCGTGTAGACCAAGAACCGTGTTCCAGTCTGCACACAAGCCTCAATCACGTTCTTTGTGCCTGGGAGAGGTGGCAGGGAGGGGAAGAGTGTACTGAAGCTAAAACTTCCTCCCTCGCAGCATCTTTCCCACCCCCCATCTTTCCCATCATTCTGGATGAGGGCCCGTGGCTTCCTTCCCCAGGTCCAAGGAAAACTACAGCAGGTCAGTGAGGGTAGCCAAATTGCCATTACAGGGGCAGGAGTGTCCAGAGGACAGGTTTTCACAAGAGAATCCCACAAGTCAAGGTCAAAGAGGGGGTAGGGAACAAATAGCCACCTCACCCTGCACGTTGACCTCATAGATGGTCTCAGGGCTGGCCCTCCCAAACACATCCACCAGCCCGGCTGTGTGGATGACCACGTGGGCTCCAGCCACAGCCGCTGCCACCTCGTGGGCTTGGGTCACATCCCCCTGGATGGCAGTCACCTGCACAGGCCCTGGGAAGGATAGGAGAGGCAGCCAGAAGCAATGTCTTGAGCTGGGGCCTCTGGCCAGCTGCTGGGTTCAGCCTACACCCTTAGGAGCCACATATTCCCAAAGTGACTCATTCATCCCATCCATGGGCGCTGGAAGTTATAAACAGGCATCATCTTTTCCACCACGGCAAAGGGAGTCCGCCCACCCCACTCCTTCCCTCCCCACTGTGATTCACCTGTCTTCAGCTCCTCCAGCCAGGCACCCAGGTGCAGGTCAAAGACCCGCAGCTCTAAGAGCCGGGGTTCCCGCTGCAGAAGCATCCGCACCACATGCTCCCCCAGGAAGCCGCAGCCACCTGTGACTAGGTACACCAGCTCCCGGACCTCTGTGGAGTCTGCCATGCCTGGCTCGGGAAGAGAACCTGAGTTGCCTGCCACCACCCATCCAGCGACAGCAGCACACCTGCGACCCCGAGATGGGGCCTCTGGCATAGGGGACGGGAGCCGAGACACGGGCCACAGTGGCTCCCAAAAGCTGGGGCTGTGGGCACAGCAGCCAGGCTACCCCACCTGTCTTCTTCTTCTGACCCTGCCAGCTGCGGCTACTGCGACCGGAAGGGTGAGGGATTGGCGTTTTAGGAAGGGCTCAGGGGTTGAGCTGGAGGGGAAGGTTCCAAGACAAAAATGGAGGGTAGGAGGTGAAGGGTTGAAGAGGAAGGGAGAGGGAGATGGGAAGGGCTGTGACTAGGGAAGGGGACCTGGGAGCCCTGGCATCACCTCTGCCTACCTGCAGCCACGGTCCGGAGATACTCAAACTGGCCCCCGGAGGGGCCGTCTTCTTTCGGAGCCCCAGCCGGTCGGCCAACACACCGTCCCCTTCCGCTTGCTCCTCCTCCCTCCTGGCCCATTCCAGGAACAGACACCAGCCCAGCCTCCACCCCTCCGTCCCCTGAGCTCTTGCCATAGGGCGCCCCCTGGCGGCCACTCTGCGCTCCGCGGGCGTCTGCTTCCGGCAAAGAACTTGGGGAATTCGGCCGGCCCGGGGAAGCCAGAACCCGCTGGGTGGGCACAGAGGATGGGACAGGTGGGATGACCTCACTCCCACCTCATGACGTCAATCCTTCCCCTTTGCTGGATTTCCCAAGATACCAGAAGCCCAGCAGCGGCTGTGGTTCTGGGAAGGGAAGGGAGGCTGACCTTGGCCCAGCTCTGGCTGACCTTGGTGGGGGATTTCTGGATGACTATTCCAGACTAATAGGTGACCCAGAGCAATGGTGGTTGAGTCTGCAGGTCTACCCACCCAACCTGCAGGCCACCCATTTCCCCTTCTCTTCACTTGCAACCAATCCTCTGTCCTGAACCCCCAACCCCCCGCCACCCACCTACTCTTCCCCAAAGATACTGACCAAGCACTTTTGTACAATAAAGTTTAATCACAATTATAAAAATGTGGCGTTGGGTTTGCGCTATTAACATATGTACAATCCAGCCCAATAGGAAGGACCCACCCCCCACCATCCTGGCCTGGCAGAGCAGAAGCTTCCAGGCACCAGGGTGGGAGGGTGACCCACAGGGTCTGGCAGGAACAAAAGATGAGGCAGGGTTCCAGGCACGGAGTCCCTAGGACTGGGGGCACAGGGCCCCCCCCAGGGGGAGAACATGGCCGCTGCCCCTAGAGACCCCTGAACTGGGGAGGGGTGCACGCAGGGCACAAAGGGGGAGTCCCCATTAACACAAAGCAAGGGGGCTATGCAGCCCCCCAAGAACAGGATCTGTACAGGCCGGCACCCCAGGTTTCCACAGGAAACAGCTGCTGGCAGCTACAAAACATTTACAGCTTCTTCTCCGCAAAGAAAAAAAAGTTAGGGGGTTGGTGGGCAGGGGCGACAGGGGAGGCAGGAATTACCTCCGGGGACTGAGGCTCCCTCACTGGGCTTAGGGCTCCCCAGACCCCGGGGAAATAAATAGGGGCGTGGGCGCCGGTCCCGCCCCACTTCAGTTGAGGGAGCCCCGGCAGCTCTCGGTGCCGCACAGACACGGGATCTTGTTGTCCTCCAGAGGGAACTTGTAGTCATACGTGATCTCCTCGTCCACACCAATCGGCTGCTTGGAGTAAATCACGATCTTCTTCTGGGACTCGATGGTAATCACCTTGGCATAGCAGTTGGGCTGTAGGAGGGGAGGGCCATGTGAGCTGTGCCCTTGGCCCTGGAGTCTCCGCCCCACCCTGAGCACCTCCCACCCCGTTCTCCCACCCCCCTGCGCACCGTGCAGCAGTGGTTGATGAACCGCGCCAGGTTGCCGCACTTGGTAGCGTCGATGATGGTGTCATGGTCTACCCGGAACAGGTAGCTGCTGCCAATACCCTCCTGCACGTAGCGCTTCTCCCGCATGTCGGCCACCATCTGGTAGGACGGGGTGCCGTCCCAGTCAGCTTCCTGCCAGACTGGGCCTGACCCCACCAGCCCCGGTGAAGGGGACCCGCTTGGCCTTCCAGTTACCACCCTGGGGTGGGGGGCACATTGACCTGTCTTGGTGAGCATTTCCTCCTCTGGCTCCCACCCACCCAAGGAGTCAACCACCTGCTTCCAGGGGCCCCCTCCTCAAGGTTCCCCCCACACCGACACCTTTGGCTGCCACTTTAAGTTTCCCAAAGGGGATCTCAGGAAAATGTGCCGGGCTCAGTGGGCATGAGCAGCAGCCACTGGCTCCTCCTGGAGCCTCTGCCTGGCCCACGGTGGAGCCCCCAGCCTCCTGTGAAGCCATGCCGGTTCCTGATGTGACATGGTCATTTTGGGGCCCGAACCCTATTCGTCTCTTCTCCCAGGACCCTCTGTCCAAGACAGGCACCACCAGGCTGCCGCTTGATGCCCTCAAGGTCCACATTCTTGTGTGAGGAGTGATTCCTATTTCCCAGAACATGGCATGATAAACCCTCTGCGCTCTCTCCTTGGGGTGATCTCACTCTCTTCCAGGGCTTCAACTGCCAGATAAGTGATGGGGCCTCCTCCCAAACTTCCATCTCCAGCCAAAATCCACCTCAATGGAGCTGCTAGGCGTCAATTTCTAGATGTCCCCGGGGCCCTGCAGCTTCACAGGCCCTGATTGGAACTCCTCTCCACCACACAGCTGCTTCTCCTCCTCACCCCCCTCACCGGCAGCCCAAGAAATGGCCTCCCCTCTTCCCCTCCCCCACTCTCCAGAGCCAACTCGCTGCTCAGTCCTGCCAGCTGCCTTGGACCCACAGACTCCTGTTACCTTGGCTGCCACTGCCTAGTCTGGGTCCCCTGGGCCTCTGCTGGGATCTCTGTGACCGCACCCCCACTGGTCCCCGCCTCTGGCTGTCCCTTCACACTGCAGCCAGAGGGAGCCTACTGACTGCAAAGCCTGTCACTGCTGGGCACTTGGCCATGGCTTCCCTCCCCTTATCGCTGGCCCCAGCTCAACAACACAGCTTCTAAGCTCCTAAGGTCCACGAAGTGTGGCCTCCATCTGCCTCTTTGGTGGCCACCAGTCCTGGTTTTTCCAACTCGCCATCCTGACTTCCTTGCCCTACTGAGACTATCCTGCCTCCGGACTTCTGCACATGCTGTCCAGTGGCTGGGAGCACCCTTCCCCTCCTCTGAGTTGGGGAGTCATCATCCTTCAGCTCCCGGCTTACACGTCATTGTGCCCCACCACCTCTGCCTCCCCAAGCTTCCTCTTCCCCATCAACCAAATATCATCCTTTGTGCAGTTCTTTATGCAGTGGCTCTTCCCCCACTGAACTATGAGACCCTCATAGCCAGAGAGAATACTGGCCCTTCCTCCTTGCTGGATTGTCACCACCTAGTTTACAAGGACCCATCACTAATTGTCGAAGGAAACACAGGCAGGTTTCACCAACTATGTCTTGGAACTGCGAGGTTATGTGGACCTTTATCCAGAGATGAGGTGTTTTCTCATGCCAGCTGCTATGCTGCCATCTTACTGGGAGCCAGGTACAGGGCCTTACCTGGCGGATGTTCTGACCCACGTATTCGATGACCATCTCGTCAGCTGCAATGGGCTCCATGGCAAACAGACCCCACTCGTGGATCCGGCTGCGACCAAATCGGAGCTTCTTCTTCCGGAACTAGAGGGCAGAATGCAGGCTGTGCTGCTGGGCGCCTCCCTCAACCTAACTCCTTGCCTTTGCTGCAGTCCTCCAAGGGGAGAAGTGTGCTTCGGCCACTCACCTCCATGCCCAACCCCAGGAGACTGCATGATGCTGCCCGCCCACCGGGCCTCTCTTCCCCTAAGTCCCTGCTCCTCACCTTGAGCTGGTTTAGCTTTAGCAGATCACTGTCCATGATGGCGGAGGTGCCGATGGCACTCAGCAACCGCCGCTGCTCAGACCGGCGCTCTGAGAGCACACGGTTAGTTCCCTGGGAGAAGCAGGATGCAGGGGGGAGGTAAGTGACAGGGGCAACTGTGAGCAGTGACGCCAATGGGCCAGGTATGAGGGCAGAGCCTTACCTGAGTGTCTGCTCCTTCCAGCTGCCGGGCCGAAACAGGGCACACATCCAGGTACCTGTCTTTTTCCTTCTTGCTGATTGGGTAATAGCCTTCACTGCGGGCTGAGCCTGTCTGGTGCTCACGGGGCCCATCCTGGGGCCGCCGTTTGCGTTTTGGAGTGCTCAGGTTGGTGAGTGCAGGGTGTTAAGGAAGAAAATGGGTTCCTTGCTGGCCAGATCCCTGGGGCCCTCTCCCCTCGGTCCACCCAGTCCCAGCCCATGGAAAGGGTGACTGACCTTAGCGGGAGGGCCCAAGCATTATTTAGCATGAGGAGGGCAGAAAAATGGAGAGAAGGAAGCCTTAGATCTCACCTTTTCTGCCAGAAAAAACTCTGGGAGGTAGAGAAGGGGCAAGAGGCAAAGAGAAAAGAACGGCCTGGGGGCCAGAGGAGAATGGCCAGGCTGAATGTGGCAGAGAGAACAAGGAGGGAGGCAAACAGAGACGCTAGCTGTGATGTGAGAGGGCTGCTCCCTAGCTGTGCGACCCCAGGGCAGCCTGCCCCCACCCCTGGGGCCTGCCTTCTTGTGCGGAGCAAGCTGGCCTCTAGGGCCCAGGATATTGGTGTGATGGACCCAGTGGGTGTCATTCAGCCAGTCAGCCCCGCTTGTCTGCTGCAGCAGCCGCTCGTACGTGAGCCGCAGATAGCCCATGTCCTCCAAGTCCAGGCCCGAGTTCCAAATGTCATACAAGATGGTCATCTGTTCAAACTCACTGCGGGGTTCGAAGGAAGGGGGTGGAGGGGGTGGAGGGGGCGGGGGTGGCCGCCTGCGTCGGGTGTGGGAGCGGAGGCTGCGCCGCCGGACAGCGCCCTCCCCGTCACTACTGCTGCTGCTGCTACTCTCGGAAGACTCGGACTCCTCCTCTTCCTCCTCCTCCTCCTCTCCTTCCTCTTGCTGCTGCTGCTGTTGCTGCTGCTGCTTTGGCTCCTCCGCCTCAGCCACCACCACCTCGGGGGCCTCCAGGACCTCATCTGCTGGAGAGCTGAAGAGGGCCGCAGGGGCAGGAACTGGCTCCAGAGGCCGAGGGGCTGGAGTGGAGGGCGGTGGCTTGACAGCCAAGGCATAGTTGTGTTCCAGGAGGATGTGGCTGAGCAGGGGGCCTGGGCGGTCGGCCTCATCCGATGTCTCTGTGGCCTCCGAGTCATCACCCGGTGGTAGGGCAGTCAGCCCACGACGGGCTGGGGTCAGGGCCAGGTCGGCCAGCACCGCCAGGTCCACTTCGGTCCCTGGGTCAGCTTCCTCCTCCTCAGTAGAACGGCCTCGGCCTCCAGCCCGGCTCCGACCTCCTCGGGACACCTCCTCAGGCCAACTCTTGACCAGAGATGCATGGTCCAGGGGCAGGTTTCGAATGGTCCGCTCCACAGTCCGGGGGACTTTGCGGGAC